ATCATGTAGGAAGTCATATTTTTATTATGCTACACAATATTTATAATATAAAAGAAACGCAGCCAAAAGCAAATTTTGAAGCACTATTTAGCTAATTCAGAAGGTTACGATTTAGGAGGTTCAAATGGAATATCTCTGTGATTTGCTACAAAGGTCAGAATCACCTGAAATGACCAAAGAAGCGCTATTAATAGCTATCTGCATAGGAAGTCGACCATTAGTCGAACTGATACTCACACTTTTTCGAGATTACCCTTGGGAAGAAAGATCTGGTTTGTACTTTTCTTTCTTAAAGTGATACAAAGCACCGTCGATGGCATAATTCTTACCTCTTAGTTCCTTAGAACCAGAGTGAATGAAAACGTACACAATAAGAAATCTTCACAGAAAATTACGAGATCACCAAGTGAACTCATAAATTAAGAAGCATTCATGATAACATTATTTACCGTTCTTCAAGCTCATACTAAAACGAAAAAGTAAAAGTTTTCCCTTATTTCGAAGAATAATCGCACTCACAACAAGGCTGTCCCCAAAATAATAGCATCAACTACAATAGCATCCCAATATTTTAGGATGTGCAAACTCTGCTGGATTTCTGCCACACATAACACCTCTCATGCTAGCATGTATTCTCAATAACTTTGCTATAGTACAATGCTTATTACTTAGAAATCACACCCTTGACGTCCCTCACCATCTTATGTGTAAGTTTGCCAAATACTACAAAATTGTTTCGCTTCAAGGTTTGTAATTTAAGAAATTTATACATGTTTCGAAGAAAGTTAATGAAACAAGTCTATAAGCAATTTTATAGGTAAATGTAAACTTTGCCTTTTGGTGTCAAATAGTAATATGGATGAAATACGACGGGTAATTATCAGTTACTAACTTTTTAGTATATTTTTGAAGCGCAGCAACTTCTCAATACTGTGCTGACAATCCCATACGTCATTCACTTTCATGAATTATGTAAAAAACAATTACTTCTTACTAATCTCCGAATTTTATTATGTGAAAATTTCCAAATCAAAATTTCCATCTATTCCAATTCTATAAACATTAGTTTTTGCAAGTTCTCTCCTTGTTGATTTTATCGTCAAAGTCCGTCAATCCTATACTGCATCCTTCTCTACATTATTTTTACTCTCTACATTTATACGTCTACCTTCAGGTAGACACATTACGTGCTTTGAGTTCAGAAGCCTTTTTATGGTTAGCTACAGACGATCCATTTGCTGCTGCTTGCTCTCTCTCTAAGGATATAGCCGTATGCATGGACAACGACAATTTCGAGTTTGTGGTAAATGCAGCCAATTTCACTTCTCTTTATTATTCTCATACGTAGATAGATACCAATTTTTTCTTTAGGACACGTTTCGAGTGCTTTATAATAGCGTGCAAAAATTCACTTGTCGGATAATAGATTATAACTGGAGAGTACAGGAACTCGATATTTTTCTTGCACATGTGAGCAAAGTTCATAGTCGCTCTTCTCCTAAAGGCCTGTAAAATTAAGAATTTCAGAAATGTCACTGTTCTCTTGCGACATGCGCGAATCCTTATCCCAGAGTTCAACTTGCACTAGAAGCTCATATGCGGCATCTTGCTGGTAGTCCGAATGTGCAACGAGCTATGGCGTGCATTTGGTGGAGAGGTGCTCGAAAAATTCCTCTAATCAATTATTTTTTGTAAAGTATGCTTACCTTAGGATGGGGCAACTTTGGGTCAAATTTTGCTCGAGATTCCTACCGTGTTTTAAGACACTTCTTTTTGTATCCACTACTTGCCTTAATGTACATATTCACAAATGGGAAGATCGGCAGCTCATTTAACGTGCCTTTAGCCAGGTGGATCCCTCCTTTAATACATTCACTTGAATTCAGTACAAATTTATTCGCTTTTAGATATATCAGTTATACGTCAAGTTATTTTACGTTTCTTGCTTGTTTGATTGCGATACGATATACAAAAATTGGAGAGACTGCAAAAACTGTGCACACGCCAACAGGATATCGTAAGCAATTTTGTTATACAACTATATCCTTGGTAATTAGGATTCGCATTTATTTCTTTATCTAGTGCTAACCATCAACAAAGATATGAACTCTCGACAACTTGTTATTCTCTGTCATCGCTCTTGTTTAGAATCGTTTTTCACCGCTTTTGTTTTTTTCATTTTTCAACTTTATTAATATTTTATTGCAAACAAGCTTATACCGTGTCGTAAGAGGAAGTGGGGCGCATCGCATCGCATATCTTTCTTGCTTTTTGTTTTGCCGTGAATGTTGGGAACTCAAAGCATTAATCGTATTTATTTGAAAGAGGTGCTAAATTCTTTTCTCTACAATTGTAAGGAAATATTAAGGATGTTTCGACATGAGTAAAATATTAGCCAATCTTTTT